CAAATCAAAAGCAACTAGTAATTGATTAGAAATTCCATAACGGTAATTACCGTTACAAATGAGATTTAACGGTTTAGCGCCGTCATACGTTAGTGCGTGGCTCACACCTCCAATCACATGGGATCTATGCTCCTTCGAGTGACGTCATTTTTGTGGGCCTGTTTAATATCTTTCAGTGAAAATCTAAAAAATAACGCAAGTCAATACCGAGCTAGAATAAATGAAAGCTATAGAAATAATTAATTTTATTGAAATAGTACAACTTTTAAATAGTTTCCAGTACGGAAATGCATTTATACAGTCTAGGTTTTTGTTAAAAACTTAGGTTTATCTCAAAACTGTATAAAAGTATTCAATTCAATGTAATTGTACTTGATGAATTTTATTTTTCATTATTAGTATAACATTTGACTAGTTCTTGATTAATCAGTCAATTCAGGAGTTATAACTTATAACCGCTTGAAACTTTCTAATTATTTATACGTTTATTAATCACGGACGTGGGAGCGATTAAGGGAAGCTATCCAGTAAAAGACGTCCACATGTGCGTTTCATTTATTTTCTTATAATATATTAGGACAAACTTGTTATTTAACAAGTTAATTATTATAAGTAACCGTGTTTTGAAATTATTAAAGAATTTAAACAGCATTGTAAACAGAATATAGCGTGTACTTGTGTAGTTCGTACTACTTATCCACGAGACAAAAATAAATTTTAGATTAATCTACTAGCTTCCCCATATGTACTAGATGACGCTATGATGCAATTACAACTTGTAGACGATTTGTTCAAGTTTTAGCTGTTTACTATGACAGCTATAAGCGTAGTTACTATATAGTATATTACAAAACCCGCCTCATGATGTTGTCATAAAATAAATAACAAAACATTATATTTATTCGTAGGATAATTTGTAAAATAACTCAAATATTAGCTGAACTTTGAAAACTAATCCTTGCCTAAGCAACATGATTGTTGTAGTCAGTTTGTAGTCAGTTTTTTTCTTTTTAAATTTAAAATGCGATGTTTTAAAACTAGAATATTCTATATCTATATATAAAGATTCCCGATTAAAAAATTTCGTGATAGAAGATTCGTGGTAATTCTATCGTATATTACAACAAGGACTTGTAAACACTAAACAATCAAACAAACGGAACTGAAATATACACAATTTTTCTATAACAAAAACTATAATTTAACGGTAATCTTTCTCTTTCTGACCGAAAATGATATTAAAATTTTTTAAAACAACTCTTTGTATGTTGAATTTTTTACCTTTAGGTAAGAATTTGAGCTTAGGCCATTTCCAACAACAGTATCTAATGGAATATCTAGGTATT